TGTTTAAGCAAGTAATATCTCAAAACTGTGAACCATCTAAAACTTATATCTGTTGAATAAAGTAATTGTAATACAAGAGTGCCAAGAAACGTTAAACTATTGCATTTCTTTTCTAGCTTGTCCTTCCTCCTTATGTTTTCTTTATATTCCGATGTTTATTGCAAGAATTAAATTGATTAGATATTTAATGTTCGTTCAGACACTTTTTGTGATATGACACTGAAATAGGTCTTCAAGCAGTATTGTGTTGCTCCAAGACTGCTCATTCAATGCGAGCATGTTGCACATTCCAAGAATGTTTTTAGCTCATGCAGTTAACGGTAACATTGTATCGGTGTATTCTCTCTCCTCCGCTTTTTTTCTGTTGAGGGAACAATAATAAAAATGCAGTGAATGTTGATTATTAACTTTAATGGTGCAAATATTAGAAGTGGGCCCAATGTACTAATTATAAAATGGACTTAAATGCAAAATAGTCAGATGTGGTATTCCTTCACGACTAGGCAGGGGTAATTTACCAAGCAATTGAGGTTTTTCTGTGGCAATTTACATACATGTATGGGAAACGTAAACCCTGTTTAAATTAATCCCATTAACGTTTTTCAGCCTCATTATTATCATCATCGTCATTATTGTCAAAATTCGATTTGTAACTATAACTTTAGCCCGTACAAACTATAGTCAGTAGTTTTTGGTCTTAATTTTGCAGGTAGACAAAGTAGGATGAATCTTGGAAACAAAGCAAATTTAAAAGCAAAGTTGGAGGTATGTGTAGTGATGGAATCATTTTGCCAATGGTATTCTCAAGTTGACGATTGAAGTCGAGACCAAGGAGGTAACTGCTTGACATAACACCAGTTAGGGGCTACGTTTATTGTGTGAAAGGCGAATTGTAAACATTGGTTAGCACTGTGCTAATCCTGCACTAGCACATGATAACATTCCAGTTCAGTAAAGTATTTTTGTCATCCATGAATAGAATGTCAGTCCTTCAGTGGCAAACATCACCTTCGTTAGTGGTAAAGTAACAAGAAATGGGACGGAAATCAAGTAGTTTTTGCAATAACAAAGCAGGAGGGTTCTGACCAGGTTTGAAGCTGGCCTCTTGAACCAGTGTCCAATGCGCTAACTGTGCTCTCATCATGAATGGGGATTATTTTGTCGCTCGTCTTAAAGGGGCTACGTCACGACCCGCGCATGTGCGAAATTTGGCTCCGTTCTCATTGAGATACAAATGCATCCGCCATCTTGAATTTATCGGAGTTGTTAAATTTTGCGCGAATTTAGCCGTTCTTGGTTAAAATTATTACGTCTTTTTGTCGCGTGTGTGGATTTCGTCTCGTCGATCTACTTATTTTATCGCAGAGGCAAATGGGAATATGTTCCAACGCAACGTCCATTTTCTCTTTGTTCTGTTGTTATCCTCTTAGGAAAATCGCATCTCCTGTTCGTTCGAAAGCGCTTGTTCCACGAAACAGAAAACAAATACAAATAGTGGCTGCCCTTGCAAGATGTGGTAGTGAGTGCATGTGTGGTTCGACAGCAAATCCGTGTCGAAAACACGGTGAGATTCCTTATTTACGCACTTAGCTTTGATGTAACATAGTTTGTAAGTAGGTATCGAAGGCTGCACGCGAATGGAACGACTAGATTTCTGGCTATTTTTGGTTCTGTTTGTGTTCAAGTCTTCATATGTACACATGTTCATGTGTACAGCATGTCTTTTTCATTCAGGCCAAACATTTCACTAAGCATAGAGCAGTTTCGAGTTTTTGCAGTTTGAATTGTCTTTTGCTTGAGCTGAGAAGGTTTCTAGGAGAGTTTGATTTTTCATATACAAAATACAACAGCTTTGACATGACTCTTGTTTTTCATATCAAGGCTGGTGCAAGCACAGCTTCATTTGTGGCTGAAAAACATAGCCATACCAGACTGACAACAGGCCACGTGAAGAGCAGGAGAGGATAAAATGAAATAGAGATGTAAGGGTCTGCTTGTATAGAAATATGTTTTTATTTGTTATTATTCCAACAAAAATATGCCTAAATATGGAAAAGACCACAAAAATCAAAGCTTGAACACCAATGCAAATGCATAAAGTTTAGCAAGGCAAGATTTGTTTTGTTC